TTGCTTCCCGCGTCTCGCTCTGCAATTTCGACACCGGCTAGAAAATTCACAGGCGCTGCTCTAAAGAACAGATCGGCTTCCACTCGTGGGTTGCTGGCCACCTTGTCGTAGCCAGCCGGCAACCCGTCGCCGACGTCGTAGACTCCGAGGTTTGACGGCAATAAAGCGGCTCTTGATGGAGGAGGGAAGACGGAATCGTTGGACTTGGCCGTGCTTAGGAAAGAGAAGCGGACGTTTGGGGCGGTCGCGGCAAGCTTGCAGACCAGTTTGGCGACAGTCCTGGGGTGGCTGCTTAACGGGAAATTGCAGACTGCAACGTGTTTCTCCGACGGCATGATGGTTGGATTTGGTTGTGCGCTTTATGAAGAACTTGGAAGGGGGGCGAGAGAGAGTGGGAGCGACAGAAAGAGAGATTGCTTAAGAAACTTGCCTCTGGCTTTATCATTTATTTATAGAGAAATGTTTTAACAACACGACAAACGAGTGGGTCGAATTGAAAATAACAAATTCATTGACTCTTTTCGACCCATTTCCATACGTTGCAAATCTCGTAACTCATACTCGAGCCGATCCACACCCAACACATATCCACCAAAATTGAGCTTAGAGTGATGTGAGATCGAGCGAGAGCAAGAGATAACGAAGAGAGTCATGAAATTGAATTAAGTCTACGTAAGTTATAAATCCATTTAATATTCGTATTATATTTAAATTCATATAAAACTCATTATTTATTAAATATAATTAACCCGTATAATAACTCAACTCATTATATATGAATTAAAAAATGAATTTACGATCATTTTAACTAATCTAATAACAGAGGACGGTCCATATTCCAACCACTGGATTTATGAAAATAGAGTTCTCCATGACTGACTGTTGATTTAGTGTGTCAACTACCCACGACGGCAAATTTTCAGGGAAACAACGGAGGAAAAGGTCACCACGTATTTTCTGCCACAACATCAGAGAGTCTTATCACTCGTGTACGATACCGACAAGGGAGGTGGCGGACCTCGTGCAGCCACGAACGAGTTATCACCGCCGCATGATTTTGTAGCGTTATGAGCACATGGTTAAAGACCGGTTACCGGCTAGGTACCCGACATTAATTTGACATTCATTATGGCGCCGATGTTTGGGTGATAATCGATATAAAAATTAATATCACGAAAAATCTTAACTTATATATTTATAATAAATTTATTTTAAATTAATTACCATCTATTAGTTTTCGTGAAATTAAATTAATATCATAAATTAATACACATGTGACAAATGATAGTAAAACCTCAAACTGGTACACCGTCAATTGTCACGTGTCATCCAACTCAGCAATTTGACGATAAAATTTAACGGAAACTAACGGAGGGTAAATTTGTCATAGGTGTACCGGTTTGATATTTTTGATAGTCGAAAAATTAGTTTATAATAGATTTATCATAAGTGTACCGGTTTGAGATTTTTCGTAATATTAACCCTTAATAGAATGATCAATTTGTTGAGTAATATATCTTGATGACCGATCACCCCGTCTACTCCAGGTTGTGTTGATTAATTTGTGTTATTGAAATATGTCAATTTTTGTGTTATTTTATTATAGTAATTAGTTTTTGGTGATAATTGACGTTAAGTTGAAATTAATTTTTGCGTTCTAGTGATAATTTGAGATTTTGTGAGACCACTGTCAACTGTTCTAAAGTTAAGTTATTAGATGAATCCATGATTTATTATTTAAATATTCGAACACTCCTCCTCACTCTTAATATTGTCCTTTTGCCTAGTACTAAGCGTGGAAATATTTAATTGGAGAGACAGATGGAGTTTGGAAAGATTCGAACTCGGGACCTCCAGCTTTGATACCATGTAAAATTCTGTGAGACCACTGCCACCCATTATAAAAACTTAAACCGTTAAATGAAGGCATGATTTATTTTTTAAATATTATAACGTACAGATGTCAATGTTTTTAACATTGCATATATGTCATATGCTTATAAAGGGAAATTATGGATACATGAAAGTGGTAAAAAACTTTCGTGTCATATATTATTCATAGCACTATTACGACATCAAACAATGAGCATGAGAACATACTTTTGAGCTAAAATCCTCGGCTTGCGGCTGCACAACACTAGAAAGAGGTTTCCTATCAGGTTCCACAAGCGGCTAGGTTTGTAATTATCATAGAAGTAAGATCTTTCAACGTGGTTTATTTCCTCAGCGAGACTTTGGTACGTTTTCATCAAGATACTTGAGCTGCATATAAGGAGAATCCTGATGGTGTTACCTTCGACTTGCTAAACCTCGCTAGAGGGTCCGGATTCTTGTGTAGCTGTTTATTAAGCGCACATTGCTTAATTGGCGTTAGGTATTTGACACAGAATCATGATCGTAATCGTGCCACACAGAATAGCGGCATGCGCGTGGAGGGTGAGCATGGCGGTAAGGTAACACACTGAACTTTTTCGGCATCTTGCAAGGTTTCATCTGGTTGACATATGGTCGGGGCGGTCGAGTAGTTCGATTTGATTGTAAAAATGGTATGATTTGGCTCGTGATTGATTCGTACATTTTGCTACTCTAGCGACAGAAGTATTCTCTAGTCATCTGTAAACTCAACTATCAACACAGATGCGTATTAGGGGGGAACTCCCGAAACCATGAACATTCCGGATGAGAACATTGAGTCTGGTTGATTGCATGGAGAGGACTTGGAATTTGAGGATGTTGGTGTTCTTTAGCTCAAGCAACATGAGATGCTGGCTTCTTCAATGATGATGTCGAAGGCGATTTACATGTAGAAAATAATTCCAAGTCAGAAGAAGAGCTGATGGAGAGGGTAATTTTTTAAATCATCATTACTATTCACAATGAAAAATTACTGATACATGCTTGTTATGAAGCTTTCTTGAACAACATATGTGTATAAGTTCATCTTAATGCAATGCGATGGTCATGGCTCCGTCATTTTTTCCCAACTAACGGAGCATTTCTGATTACTCATATTTCATGAAAACCGTGACTACTAACTTCATCGGTTTTCAAGATAGAAAAAGAAGGGAAAAGCGAAGGTGACTGTGCCGTGATTTCTCTATCGATGCTGAACCTGGGAACCTGAATAGCCTTTTTGCCCAAAAACATCTGCTAATATTCTGGGTTCATGACTGGGCAGACTATTTGTGATATAAAACAGCTGGTAAATGCTTATATGGAAACTTTCGAGTGTCATAAGAGCAGACGGTCCTACCTGCGCAAGTTCATGTGTTTTCCCCACCTATATTAAATCCAAATGCCAAGTGTTCATAAATAAACAACTCATTTTGGAGACTCACAACACAAAATACATTGCGTGTCCGATGCTTCTTGCTCAGATCGTTCCCTTGGTGTGACTCGGGATGCGTTTGACAATCATTCTGTTCCCGAAAATAATTTCTGTTAAAAAATGATTCTTTTTTATTTCATGCCCAGGAACAATTTCTAAGCATTTACCCACCTGTGCATGGCCGAGTTGGTGGATGTTTTCCTTCCCTCAGAGAGGTTTTGGGTTCGAATCCCCGCTCGGTTCCGTAATTTAAGTGGGGGGCCCTGGCGGTGGGTTGCTAGGCTAGTCTCTCCCGAGGTATAGGCATCCTGATTACCTGTGCGGGCTTGTTCCTGGGGAATGGTGACGGATCCTCGATTACAAAAAAAAAAAAAAAAAATTCTAAGCATTTAAAGGTGTTTGGTAACTATTCAAAATTTCTATTCGAAGAATAAAAAAATAACAGAAATGCATTTGGTAACTGCACAAAATTTCTTTTTATTAATAATATTTTTAATATTTCTTTTTTTTTTCTTCTTCTTCCCGTTCCTTAGCCATGGTCAGGGCTGGCGAGGGCGTCGCAGCCCTCGTCGGATCTGGCAAGGGCTGGACCCTCGCCACCGCCCTCGCCAGATCCAGCAAGGGCGGCTTGGGTGACTTGGGTGAGGGTTGCCCTTGCCAGATCCGACGAGGGTGGCCCTTGCCCAGGCAGCGAGGGTCCAGCCCTCACCCTCGCCGGCTCTGGCCTGTGGCCGATCACTGGTGGCCAGCGGCCGACGACCAGCCACATGTCAAGAAGAAGAAGAAATTTTTGTTTTTCATTTCTGATTCTTGTTTCCAGAATTAAGAAGTAATTTTTTTTTACTTCTTGATTCTGAGAACAAATTTTTGCAAATTTATGCCTGGAAATAAAAAATTTATTAAATAATTTTTTTCAAAACTGATTTTAAAAATAAAAAAATAAAAAAAAATTAGTATTTAGTCGGTTATCAAATACGGCCTTAAAATACTTGAGTTCTTCGCACGAAGGAACTCACTGGCATTTTTCACTTGGTGCGGCTCCTGCTCATTTGCCGACAGCTCTACTGTCCCACCGTCACTTCTTCATCGTGCGGCTGTCACTTGAAGAGAGAGGACATCCTGCTATTGTGCTCTCTATTTTGTGCGGCTGCAGGCTTCTAGGAAAGGAAGACCTAGTAGTGAGTTTAGAAAAGCCTATGGGCTACAGTACTCTAAGTCTCTTAGCTGTCAACAACTTTTACTCTCTTTTTTATCTGACTTCCACCCACCACATAAGCTGTCAACAACTAGGAACCCACCTCCCAATTCTCTTAGCTGTCAACAACTTTTACTCTTTTTTTTTTTTGGACTTCCACCCACCACATATATATATATATAATATATATGAGCCCTTGTTTTGTTTTGTAGTGCATGCATTCGGTTTTCGTAAACAATTTAAATTCGAGATATAATTTAACAGTAAACTTGAAGAGGAGATTGACAAGAGGCCAAGGGTGGCGACCAAATGGGAAGGCGAGGACTGCAACATGTTTTCCCGGCAACGTGGTCATTAGGATTTGTAATCTTTTACGTTGTCGAGGGTGTTGTAGGTCGAGGAAATTGAGAATCGTAAAGAGTTCTCTTTCTGGACACAAGAGAGGAGTTTGTTCAAGAGATATATATGGAATATGGGTACTAGGGGTGTCAACAAAACCCGGGCTGACCCGGCCCGGACCGCCTCGGCCCGACTCGGCCCTAAAATTTGGGATATTTTGGGGTCGGGTCTCAATTTGACCCTAAAACTTGTGGTACCATTAGGGTTGGGGTATAATCAGGCCCACCCATTGACACTCTGGGCCGACCCATTGACTCTCCCTCTCTCAGTCTCTCTCCCATTCTCTCTCCCCTCTTTGCGCGCATAGCACTGCAGGATGAAAAAACCCTAGGTCTGACGTCGTTGTCATCGCCCTCTTCGTCGCCCTCGATCTCCGAATCGTCCTCATCCTGGAACACCCAGCGGGACTCCGTCGAGTCCATGGACCCCATGCCGACCACCGCCTCTCCCCTGTCCGATTCGCCGTCCTCCGCCATACACTGATCAGGTGGGTGAAGAAGTTCGAAGCTAAGTACCCTGTCGTCGGTCGCGTCGTCTCTATCTCCCTCAGCTTGTGCGGATGTCGATGGCTTCGATTGGATTGCTAGGGCTTGTAGCGCGAGCTTTGCTTGTTTGTTGGGTCTTCAGTAATTTGTTTTCGAATCTAGTGATTTGAGTCGGTGCATCGATGGGGGGTTTTGATGGGATATTGGTTTTTTTTTGGTTTGTGGTGACAGGAGGAGCTGCAGAGGACGAATCTGGAGCTAGAGTCGTATAAGGAGAAGATATAGGAGAACCAAGAGAAGATTAAGCTCAACAAGCAACTCCCCTACCTGGTCGGCAACATTGTGGAGGTAACTTTTCGGAATTGGTTTGACTGTAAAACGGGTTTGATTGAAGGGCTCTTGTTGTGCTCGTGATTTGGGGACTGTCCCTGACAAATCTCTGTTGAAAATTCGGGGTGTGGCAAGTTACGTCTCGCATGATGTCTTTGTATTTTGGGCTGACTGAGGTCTTTTCTCCGAGAGTTTATAGCTGTAGTGTGTTTTCTTGGCTGATGAGTGATGATAATGTGTTCCTCGTATAATATGCTCGTTGTCTCCCTTCTTGCTTTGAGTTATCCTCTGATTGGAATTTATTGTGCTTAAAGATTCTTGAGATGAACCCTGAGGATGAGGCTGACGAAGATGGTGCCAATATTGATCTGGACTCGCAAAGGAAGGGCAAGTGTGTCGTCCTGAAGACATTGACACGGCAGGTATGGCTTTTGGGAAGAACACAAAGCCTTGTTGGGTTCACTTGCGGCACCAGTAGTTTTAATGGGGTCGATGATGAACCCTGAATTACCCACCCAAGGTGACGCATGAACAGCAACTCCATGGACATTGCTTTGTCACTTGGTTTATGATGTCTATTGATATTGTATCATGGCCAAGCCTTGTCCATTGTGGTTTGGAACTTCCTTCATTTCATGTATATTGTACTTTTGAACCTGTCCTTCAAAGATAAGAGAAAAAAAAAAAGAAACTGAACTTTTGTACCTGAAGGAGTGCTAACAATTAAATTCAATTTTTCAGTAAGTTGATTGTCTATCTTAGGAAGAAGAGCTGATGAAAGGAAGATTTTCAAGGAGACTTGGACAAAGGCTTTCTTTAGCGGAATCGATTTCTTTTCTTTTCCTTTCCTTTGGGGGTTGGGGGATGAGGGAAATGAGGAATGCTGTTATATTGTATGCTTGATGCAGTTGGTATCCCTTCCTAAAACTAGGATTACGAATAATCATTGAAAAATTGACACAATTTTTTTTTCATCTGCCTTTCATGATTTTGCACTCTTATCATATGATCTTGTTATTTAAGCTTTTCAAGGAGATTGCTTGAAGCTCTACTATCATTGGAGCAGTTATAAGTTAACTTGTGTATCCCATTTTACCGGCCCAGATTCTTGAAGTTAATTTTTTTTTGTTATAGAATTCTGTCAGACGGTCTCTTTATGGATATCCTATCTCAGCCATTTTGTGCTTTGAACAGATAGTCAGTGTCCCTAGGCTAATAGATAGAAAATATTTACAGTTTTGTAGAAGATAGATAACCTATTCGTTAAGTGCCTGATTAACTGGATGTTAGAGCTTCACATACTTGCACTGCTAGATGACAGAAATATCTGAATTTTTTATTTCCTGCGAAGGAATGGTTCCTGGAAGGTTGATGTATCTGTTTGTTACTCTGAAGACTATTCTATTTACTTATTGATGCCAATAGTAGATGTTATTATCAGGCTCACTTGAATTGATGTTTTCTTGTAGCCTTTGTGCTGTCCATAGAATGGAACAATGTGTTTTGCATCTCTTTATGCCTCGAGGTAGAGGCCTATTGCTTCTTGCTGAAATGAGCTCAGCTGGTAACCTAGCCACAGGGGATTACACTGCAGCAGCAGTAAAAATTGCTAACAAACTTAGTACAAGAATGTCTCGCTTTCACTTATTTCTGTTTATGCTTTTTTAATTCGGAAGCCAGATGGATGAACGCCTTAGAGTTGGTTGCTTGCTTGCAGACAAACTTCAAGCATATCAAACTTAGAGAAGGAAGTTATGCGAAGCCCGAAAAAAAAAAAAAAAAAAAAAAAAAAAAAAAAAACCCAAACCCGACCCGGGCCTTATGGTGTACGCTGAATAGGGTCTGGGGCCGGGTCTGGGCGGGTCAAGCCGGACCCTATTGGTTTCGGGTCGGGTCGGGTATCATGAAAGCCTGACCCGACCCGACCCATTGACACCCCTAATGGGTACCAACAGCTCAGGTGATTTATAGAGGAACTTAACTGGAGGAATGCACAAGAATGTGCCGATGAAAGACATCTTGTCCCAAGCTCAACATGAATCTCATGCGATTCTTCTTCTTGGAGCGATTCTGTCCGTTTGCCGCGAAGTCTACACAAGATAAAATGATAGTTTTGGTATCAAAAGATGCCGGAATGATGATTTAGGAAAAGAAATTTTCATCTTACTAAAAGGAAAAATCGTTTTTTCCTAATTTAAATTTGTTGTTTTCAGTTAACGAAAAACTTTTTTCTTAAATCAATTAGTTTTTCGTCATCCAAATATCAAAAAAATTGAAAAACAATTCTTCAGAAACAGTTGTCCTTTAAACAAACGGACCCTAAGAGGAAGTTTCAGAACACAACTCTATACGCCATGCGTCTGTGTCATAACACAAGTTCACACAGTTTCGTAACAAAATTTCATTAGGTCGAAACTCTCCCTGTTTGAGGCAGCCTTAGTTACAAAGTCTGGCTCGACCATCCCAAAAATAGCACATATTAGAGTATAGAAGATCTTCACATCTTTACATATGATATAGATGCACGAGTGCAAAGACTCAATGATGTGGAGTCATATGATATTATGGCTCCCCTCCTATCAGTTCTACAAATTATGATCTTCAAGAGTTTGGCTTTGTGGCAAGCTATGTCCACGCTACAAGCAAAATAGGTAGTTGTGGAATAAATTCTTTCATATGCTTTATTCAATCACGACTACGAAACAGATGAGATTATGTTTTCTTTTAATTAAGATGGAAGTAAACATGATGCGAAAAGATATTGAAACTCATTCAAGGGCACACTAAAATTAGAATGGAGAGTTCAAATCAAAGCTAGAGAGTCAAAAGAATTAACCACGAGTACACGAAATCAATTCACTCAGTAGATCAAACAGACTCTGCTGCAAATCGTAGCAATTGCCATGCTCTTCATGCAGTAGAGATGAGCTCCACAAGGACCTTGAAATCAGCCTCAGCACTCCCACGAGGCCCAGCAGCCTCCACCAATCTCTCCCTCATCTCACCAACCTTCTTCCTCATTTCCTTCCCTTTCTCACTCCTCAACACCACCTCCAATGCCTTCTCCATCCCAATCTTCGTTATGATCCCACCTTCTACTTTCACTCCAATCCCCCACACTTCCTCTATCATCCTCCCATTCATCATGTTGTCCGCCCAGAATGGCTTGCATACCATCGGCACACCCCCCGCCACGCTCTCAAACACCGAGTTGTACCCGCAGTGCGTCACGTAGACCCCGCAGGCCGGGTGGCTCAGCACCTGGCCCTGCGGAGCCCATGGGACGAATTTCCCGTACGCACTTGTCCGCTCCTGGAGCCCCTCGGGCAAGTACGCCAGCACGTGTTCCTTGAGGGACCACAGAAATGGGGTCTTAGCGGATTCCAAGGCTTCCCCGAGAGCTGATACCTCGCTTGGCGACGGCATTGCCACCGTCCCGAAGCATATGTACGCCACAGACCGAGGGTCTCTGGCGTCTAGCCACGTCAAGCAACCGGTAGCGTCAGAGGCGGAGCTCGACGGCAGCGGCGGCTGGGGGAACGACACCGTGAGGCACCCCACTTGGAGGAGGATCTTGAACTTGGATTTCAGGTCCGCTATCAGAGGTGTTGGGTTCGCTTCCACGTAGGAGTTCATGACGACGGCGGTGGCACCACCGGGGAGCACACGCCCCATCTCGCGCAGCATGCACGCAATCCTTGATGTATCCTGATCATCGATTATCTCATTTGGTAAATCTGAAATGTGCATCATAGACAATCCTGGAATTACTCCGAGGCTCTCGTCGTTGTCGTTGTCGGTGGAGGTGCCACCGCCGGAGGATTCTCGACGGAGCTCACTGATGACGTCAATGTACACGTGGGTCGCCAACGAATACGGAGCGGGGACCCAGAGGGTTACCCACGGAACCCGCATTTTCTCTGCCATTTTACATGCGAAAATTAAGAAAGCGTCCGTCAGTAAACAACTCACCTTCTTCCCCGCATCTCGCTCCGCAGCGTCAACAGCGGCTCCAAAACTCTCGGGCGCCGCTTCCAGGAACAACCCCACTTGTTCTCTCGGATGCTTCATCGCCCCGTGGTGGCCGTCCTGCAAGCCGTCACTGACGTCATAGACCCGGACGTTGGTAGGTAGCTCAGCTCTCGACGGCGGAGGGAAAATGGCACCGTTGGACTTGACCGTGTTCAAGAAAGAGAAGCAGACGGCCGGGGCGGCGGTAGCGAGCTTGAGGAGCAGGTTGGCGAGAGGCCAAGGGTGGCTGCCGAACGGGAAGGCGAGGACGGCGACGTGTTTTTCCGACGACATGGTGATTCGGATTTGTAATCTTTTGCGTGGTAAGTTGCGTTGTAGTTCGAGGAAATTGAGATTCCTAAAGCGTACTCTTTTCTGACGCTTAGAAGAGTTTGCCTCTATATGTGGTTGATGCGAGCTACATCGTAGGCATCCTGGATGAGTAAGAACTTGCTCTCTGACTTTCCAGCAGACGATATTTAGTGACCATATCCTTATTATATTTTGTATTTTGCTCAGTAGAAGGGAAGGGAAAATGACCAAATTGGTCCATTAATTTTGATGCGGGAGTGGGAAACCATCACGCGTCGAGCAAATGGGGACCGGTGATCAAGATACTTAACTTAACAAATTGACAACTCATTACTATCAACAAAGAAATTGGGACCATAATAAATGTCGAATTGATATGGGGTCCATAAACCTTGCAATTATTCCTTTTGTCATCTCTTCACCACATACAAACATTCACCTCATTGGATATAATTGTCTGTCGTGCATGAGTAATAGCTCTCTGTTTTTGCATCAAATAATATTAGATAAAATAATACAAATAGTCTTTGAAGTCCGCCCGATGTGCAATGTCATCTCTGGACTTTTAATTTGTTTGACGTAGTCATTGAACTATTCAAAATGTTCAATTTAGTCCGTGAACTTTCGATTTGTTCGATCTAGCTCCTCAACTTTTCATAATGAATCAAATTAATCCTTCCGTACAATTCACAAATTTCATAATCACACTATTGACCAGAGTGTAGATCTTTTTGTTATGACCAATGCAGAAACTATAACGAAATTAAAATTGAGAATAATAAAAGAATGCAGAAATTTATGTAGAAAACCCTTTGCGGGAAAAATGACGGGGAGAGGAGAAGCAAAATCCACTATAGAAATTCAAGAAATACAAAAGGTGACTCAAAAAACCTTAACACTCTTTATGTCTCTACTTCTTAGATCTAATAACTTTAAAAGAAAAATATTTATATCGTTCCAATTCTGTGCCCAAGCCCTATGCTACCAACACTAAAGCTCCATTTATTTTTCTCAAGTCAGGTCGCCACAATTCTCAATTCAAGTATCGAAACTCAATTTAGGTCGAATACCAAAAACAAAATTCAAGGCATACTCAACACTTTTCACTTCAACCCATTTACTAAATCAACAACAACAAAAAGTATGCTACATTTTTGTTACATTTTTACCTTTTTGGTCTTTATAAATATTACTATGACTCTATTTAAGTAAATTTAATTTATAATCTCTATAATCATAGAAATATAACCCTATTTAGAGTTATATGGATTCATAGTTCTTTTATCTTAAAAACAAGCGTTTTCATAAAAATATTTGATCACGATATTAATTTATCTACAGATTTCTCGTGCTTATATTAATCTAAATATTGTTTCTTATTTTTTAGATGGATAAGATCTTCGGGTTTTTGTGTTTCGTGTTTTCTTATTTGAATCTAGTTAAATCTGTAAATTAAGAAACTAAAATAGCAGAAATATCAACTCGGTACAACTCTAAACAACGTTTCAACTATTATTATATAGATCATGCTGCAATACACTTAAATGGAACTATCATAATATTTATAAACATAAGAAAAAATAATAGGAAGACAGTCAATCTTTTAATATTTAGGAAATGGATTTCAAAATTCGAGTAATAGTGTAATTAT